ACAGGCTTAGAGGCACTTCCTTCTCAGTATAGTATAGTGACAACCTGCTTTAAGAGGAACCTGAAAAAGAGCAATCTGAAAACTCAGTTGACCTATGCACAACAAGTGTCAGGAGAGCAAAGAGAGCATCCTTGTATCTCAATGCTGTGTAACTAAGTTATTTTAATACTCTTAGTTTATCTATCAAAACCACTCAAGGAATAACTTTTCACAGCAATGAGAAATTATTTTCTGCCATGCTATCAAGCTGTTTTTCTAAACCACCCCTCAGAGTCAAGGCATGTTTTTGAGACAGGATTTTGCACTTCTCAGGCTGGCCTTTAACTTCTCATGTAGCTGAAGACTAGTAACTTCCCATCTTCCTGCCCCTACTTCCTGGGTATCGAGAGTACAGGAAAGCCATGTATTACACACAGGGATTCTGCAGTGCTAGCAATTCAAGGCAGCCCCCCCCCCCAAAAAAAAACCCTATTGGAATGTAGCAGTTCTCACCACTTGCTGGGGCAACCAGAGGCTTTTCATTTGTCTTTTGCGCCTGCTGTTTTTAATGATTTGGGACACTTTTTGCACCACAGCATAGCTCACCTTTCACAGGAGTAAGAACTCTATCTACTCAGAATTCACAACTGCAATTTAAAATTTAAATAGAAGCTGAACAGCACTACATGTAAGGTTTTCCTGGTTTATTGTTTCAAGAGACCAATCACAAAGCTCTCCAGTCAGCAGCTCCTACCAAAGAGAACATTACAGACTCCCACAGGAAGCACAGGCTCAGTAGAGTTTGGAAGGAGAGGACAAAAGCTGCGATTCTAAGCAAAGTCGCTCAGCAGAGTGAAAGCAGGAACCAGACAACCCAAAGCGTTGGGGGGAAGCAGCAGGACCTAAGCAAGCTCCCCTTTCAGACCTTGGCCAGGTTAACTCCAGAAGCACTACTGCAACCCACACACCTCACACCCAGACTCTCACCAGGATGTGACCTGGTTAATCAGAACCCATGCAGGTCCATGGGTGTAAGTAGACAGCAGCCAACAAGCCAACAGCTTACAGAAGCATCTAGTGTCCCAAGTACTGGCTGGAAAGATGGCTCAGTTATGGCTCCTCTAGGACCCAAGTTGAATCCCCACCACCCACAGTTCACAACTACCTGTAACCCCAGCTTTAGGGGATCCAACATCCTCCTTCCAACTTCCACAGGCATCAGGCATGCACACACGGTTCAGACATGTACAGACAAAACACTCAGACACATAAAATAAAATAATCCAATAAATAAATAGCCTTAAAGTGTTCAAAGAATGGTTTTTTTAAATACTAAAAATCCAAACTGATAAAATATTTACATTTCACTCTTCTTTTTACTTATTTTTAATTGTGTATTCATGTGTATCTGTGTGGGGGTGAGGGCATAAACCGATGGAGACCAGAAGGTGGATACTCCGGAGCTGGAGTTACAGGTGGTTTTGAGGCCCATGACAAGAGTGCTGGGAACTCTGGTTCTCTATAGGAGGACATATCCTTAACCACTGAACCATCTCTCCAGCCCTAATCTTACTTATACTCTAAAATTGAGTAATGGGTTCCTATCCCTACCAAAGGCTATCAGCCATGTCACATGAGAATTGACACTTAATTCCCACCAGGAGTCAATTACAAATCTATACACCCTAGCCTAAAGAGAAAGTTTCATGATGTATAGAGATTCAGCCTTCCTTCAAAAGCTATTTCCCGAAGTCTTATGCACTCTTCTTATTCCCCAAACACAGTTCTGGGTCATTGTGATCTTCTTCCCAAGTTCCAGGATTGCTCTACCAACTAACTGTCTTGGAAGGGAAAGATGAGCAACACTAGGGAAACATGGGAGTGCCTCTCAAATGGCAAAGGACTATGATCACACGTGGAGACGAAGGAACCTGAATAGTAAAGTACTCATCTTACACTTTTCACTGACAAGACGACTGTGGCTCACATTCTGTCTGAGACCACCCTTCCCACCCCACACATCCTCTGCACAATCAAGTTGATGTAGCCACCACTAATTTTAGGAAGCAGGCTAATACATTAGAATCTTTCCTTACAATGGGACAGAATATAGTCTCACTAAATTGGAAGATAGAAAGGCAGGTAGGTCGTGAAAAGGGCAGGTGGGAGGAGCATTAAGACACTCAAAAACAACAATGCCAACCCTCTATCTGAACAAGTAAACAAAAGCCCATGGCCACAAAGCCTGAGCAAGACTTGGATGGCTTATTTAAGTGGGAGTTTCCACAAAAAGATAGGAAATGCCAATTTGCAAACAAGTCATTAGCCCTACTGAAGTATCCATTTGGTTAGCTAGCATTAGCTTATACTAACTTCATAAACCACACTTCCATACTGACAACATGAAAAACAATACAAACTTCAGCGAGGGATGTGACATTAGCTGCAGGGGCAACAGCACAAGTCCTTACAAAACCTAGGGAAAAGTCTTCCAAGTTTATGTAATAGCAACAAAATGTCAAATTCTTTCAGTCTCACTAAAATTATCCACATTAGGGAGCAACTTTCCCTCTATATGTCTTCTGGGCAAGCCAATGAAAACTAAACTTACTGAAAAGTATTTTAGCTTCCAAAAAGTACAAGAGGCTTTATGACATGCATGTTTTGACTTGAACAAGTAGCTTACTGTAAAACAGTCAAGGACACTATGGGGAAAACAACAAATGATCTTCTAGTGTTAAAAAATTAAAGTTTCAATTTTTCTTTATGTTAAGAATTACCAGAAACCACATTTCTAATACTTAAATATATTTTATTTGTATTGAGCGTGACAATCATTCTCAACTCTTAAAAAAAATCCCAACTGTTTTTTAGCTGGGTAAGAACACATTCATATACAGCCAATTAATGAAAACATGCTAGGGCTTCAACTACAATAATGCAAAAAAGACACACCAAAAAGACATCACTTAAATTTGTCAAGTTTTTCATTCTTTTAACTACCAAATAGTAGCCCCTACTTTTTCATTTAAAATAGACCAGCTATTTCTCAAGTTATAACTTTTCACAACTGAATTTGTATTGTAGATGTCAACATTTAGATAATCAGCCACCCCATAATTCTGAATATTTTTGTGTTTAAAGACTGAATACTTTTTAACAGTTAAGAGATTTGCTACAAAGAAGTTACAAGTTTCATCTGTCGTATACTGTATACATCTACACTTTCAGTAATTAAACTTATTGGTCAATTACTTTTAAGCTTTTGTGGAAACAAAATTTGTTCAACATTGTCAAATTTTTTTTTCTGACTTTGGTTTAAGGAGAAAAAGGAATCTAAGTAAAAATGAGTCCATCTGAGTGTTTTATAAAATCAACCAATGACTGCATTGGTTATAAAACCAACCCTACTGACTGCATTTCCTATGCAAGGTCTTGAGAACCAAGATTTAAAATCTGGTTATTTTCAACACCTAGCAGAAAAAAAATCAAGATAAGAGAGTTCAACAGAATCCTCACTTTCCCTTTCCTACTCTAGTCAACTGAAGCTGTTCAGAACATCCTTAGTTCATAGACTATAAATCTCAGCTTTCACTGGGTTAGAGATGGCTCAGCTCTTAAGCGCACTGCTGCTGTTGCAGAGGACCAAGTTCGATTCCCAGCAACCACACAGCAGCTCACAACCATCAGTAACTCCAGTTCCAGGCCAATCCACTGCTCTCTTCTGGTCTCCACAGGCACTGCACGCACACAATGCACATAAATACAAAACACACATCTAAAGACAAATTTCCACTTTCAAACTCGAACAGTGCCAGCCCTCCCCCCCCTTTCATGTCAAACCCAGTTAACTGCTCAAACTGAAGAGCACACACATTCTCACAGCTCACAAGGTTCTCTGAAGGAAAAATGACCACCACAAGGATACTGGCTAGCACTATATTTCACTTATTAGAAAGAACAAAATCACATCCTCAAACTTGTCTTCAAACATATATTCAAACTTTATTATTATTCATTTTAGGAATTAGGTAACTAGGGCTGGAGAGATGTCTCAGCAAGGTTAAGAGTATTGTTTTTTTTTTTTTTTTTTTTTTTTTTTAAAGAACCCAGGTCCAATTCCCAGTAGCACCCACAATAGCAGTTTACAATTGTCTGTAACTCCAGATCCAAGGGGATCTGGCATCCTCACACAGGAACAAACTCAATGTACATAAAAAATAATTCCTTAAAAAAAAACAAAAACGTAGCTATCAAATAGTAGCTTACAGGTCAAAATGACATGCCTAACAAATACTAATACAGTATGTCAAGATGCCTAACAAGCCTATTTGTATCTAATGTTGGATCCCATAAACACGAAAAATGGGTGAATGAATATAGTGTGAATCCGACGCAGTTTCAGAGCAACACTGGCAGCAAGGCACCTCCTTTTACTCAGCAAAATGTTTCCTGCTGGCAACTAACAAAAAAAAAAAAATCACTTTCAGGAACTAAATAGTTAACTATATATCATATATATCCATTTGGAATCCCATAAATTTATCTTGGCATGTCTATGTAGGAGGTTTGTACTAGTAGAATAAAGTAGCCACAGGTGTATCAACACCACTGTCAAAAGTCCCAAGCAAGAACAAGTTGCATGGAAATCAGATCAAGTCCAGGGCTCCTACCAGACTGTCTCCATCTCTACCCCATGATCCATTCTTCCCAGTCCCTTTGAATCAAGTAATTAAGGCTTTCAGAAGCTTAACAAGTCTTGAGTTTAGCTACTTAAAACTCTATGTCCAATAGTGCAGAAAGCAAATGATTATTATAATGTCACCATCAAGTTAAAATTTTCTCTTAAAAGAGCTGTATTTCTTAAATGTTCAGAACCTACTACTGCAACCAGCTCTAAGTGGTTCCTTGAGGAATGTGCTAAGCTGAAATTTTGGAAGTGTAGGTTTGGTGGTGACCAAGGAGGAAGTCTCCGGCTTCCCAGATGCTGCAGTCCCCACCCTCCAAAATGATATACCCACCGGTGTGAATTGACAATGTAGTCCAAAGAGCAAAGCGGGAAACGGAGTCCAGATCCTCAAAATGGCAGTACAGGGAATAACCACTAGGCCACCTATCAGTTCAGTACAAAAAGTGCAACCCTGTGCATCCCGATGTAAAAGTTGGGGCCTAGGTTTCGTACTGTGCATCTCACACCTATGGAAATAACAACAGGAGTAAAATCTACAGAAATCCACACACCCTAAAAAAGTGGGTGTGCACCAAGACTGGTGTCAACACTTGCAAAGGCCGTTGGCTTCTGAGATAATATACTGCTGGAAGGCTGAAGTTGGAAGGCAACAAAATTTGCAATCAACTCTACTAAGTTGGACAATGAAGAACTCAATAGGGACCTGATGTTACCAACAAAGCCTTGCAAATCATGACACCCATCTCTCATGGCTATGAAAATCACCACCCCCCAAAAAACCTCTCAAGAATGACTTTTCACTCTCAAAAGAGTTGGAGAGATTTGGACTGACCAGTGATACTTCAAGCCCATTACTTGCAGGTTTTAAACAACCCCCTTTACCATCTGGCCTAGAAAAGAGAAGTCGACACATTCCAACCTTAAGGTGAAAGAATTCTTGAGAAAGGGAACTTATGAGCTAAGGATGTGCACCAAGATGACTGATCAGCAACCAAAGTTTGAGGGTGAATAGTTTGGAAAGAGTAAAAAAGAACTTTCCAAACGCTGAAGTGACTTTCTTAAAGAAAATCTCTCTTTAAACTTAATCCTTCGCCATGTTGCTGTCAGCTCAACTAAGTGCAAGTCTTGCTGGGCCCATTTTCGCGTGGTCTGTAGAAGGCGCTGTTAAGCACATCCTGTTCTAGTTCTGGGGCCCTTCCCCCCACTCTGCAGCCTTACCCAGTGCAGAGAATGCGCCCCCTACTGACTCCAACACTCACTGCCTTTAACCGACTTGGCTGCGGTGCATTTTGGGTGGGGGCTGATATTTTCTTCATGGCCATAAACCAGAAGCAACAATGCAGATTTATAAAGAAACTGCACAAAGCTATCCAAGAGACACCCCCCCCACACACACCATTTTGAAGGTTCAAGATACAGGCACAAGAAACATCAGGGATGGGAACTGGGCGTCTGGGGCTGGACAGCATTAAAATGGCTAACACAGGAAACAGTCTGGTTCTTTTTCCCTCCTAAGGCTTTGTCTGTGAAATGGGGTTATGACAAGAACTGTCCAGAGGAACTAGTGGTTGAAGAGCAATGCAATGAGAAGATACTTGGGGTGTGTGGCAGGGAGCGAGGCTAAAATGGGTATTAGACTCCAGAGCCCGATCTTAGACAGAAGAGGAAGAGAAGCAATCGCGCCTTTTCTACCAGACAGGCATCCAGGTTGGGGGGTAGGGGGAGAGAAGGGTAGGCAGCCCAGAGGAAAGAGGAGGCGAATAAGAGGGTGCTCAAAGAACTACTCCCCATTCATTGCATTCGACAAACATCTTTTCGCGGCTTTCTGGATTTCCATTTTCTGACTGCAAAGTTGAGGCTCAGAAAAGCTCTAAAGAGGCAGTGCTGACCAGGAGGCCGAGATTGAGAGCAGGACCTGGTGGAGGACTGTGGTTGGCAGGATGGGAGGGAAGCTGGCATGTTGTTGGGGTGGCAAAGACTTTCACTCCGTGCCATGCACTCCCCGCCCCCCGGGCCTTTCCCCTCCCCCCAAGCCTAGGGTGGGCAGACCTGGCAGAAGGCAGGTTCCGGGGGCTGGGGGCATGCGTGTGGGGGGCGAAGGGGCGGGAGGGGATTAGTTCTGGGGGGGACGAGAGAGCGGGGTACTGCTGGGGGCGGGGTGCGGGAAGATGCCACCAGCCGCAAAAGCCTCGGGCGGCCGGCGGCCTCGCGGGGCGGAGAAGGGGGTCGGGCTGCAGGAGGGCAGAGGCCGGTCCAGAGCGGTGTGTGCGCGCGGAGTACAATGACCGCGCCCGGGGCCGGAGGCTGGCAGGGCAGGGCCATGGGCTTACCTTGGCTCGGCCTCGAGGCGTGCGCGGGGCCGGCGTGCTCCGGGGCCCGGCGGCGGGCGGACGGCTGCACGGCGATGGCGGCGAGGACGCGCCCGGGGCCTCGTCGCGCGCGGGCTCCGGCTCGAGCCGCGGCCGCGGCTGCTGCCGGGGGGCGCGGCGGGCGCAGCAGAGCGGCGGGCGGCGGCGCGGGCAGTGCAGACAAAGGAGGGGCGGAGGGCGGCGGAGGGCGTGGGGCCGCGGCTTCACCGTCGCGGGCGGGCGGCGACAGCCGCACGGCTCCTCGGCGGCGGGGACCGAGAGAGGGAGCTGTGTCTGAGGAGACGCCAAATCCCCCCGAGCGCGGCGCGGAGGGGGAGGGGGCCAAGATGGCGGCGGCCGGGGGGCGGGCGCTCAGCTCATGGGTCCCGGCGGCGGCGGCGGGTAGACCGGGCCGGTGGTGGTGGCGGCTGCGGCGGGCGGGGGAGGGGGCTGGTCCCGCGTCTCCCCTCAGCAGACAATACAAGCGCTTCGGAGCGAGTCCCCGAACCTGCCCTAGCCAAAATGGCGGCCGAGAAAGAGCGGAAGTGACGTAAGACCCTCATTAGCATAAGAGGACTCATTGTCCAGCTTAGCGGGGGGGGGCGGTGGGAGCCGGCGCCCCCCTGCCCGGGGACCCCCCAGGGACTGCACTCCAGCCCTCTGCTGCGCGGACCCCTACTTCTCTTGTGGGCGGGTGCCTTCAGCACCCCAGCCTCGCCTGGGGAGATTATATAATCCCCACTGAGGGGGAGCTCTCGCGAGAACTTGAAGGATTTGCCATTGACCCACTAGGAGGCGCCGTGGATAATGGCCGCAGTGCGCTCTTGGGTGCCTTCCTCTGGCCGCAGCGCCGCCGGCGGAGGCAGAAGCAGTGGGCCGCAGCACAATCAGTCAGGTGGCTGTGCTGGGGATCCCTGCGCGGGCCCATCTGGGCCTGGACTACATCTGGAGGGAGGGTGCGCGGCAGCCCCGAAGCTCCACGTGCTCACAGAGCGTGCTCGCACAGGCTGAGAGGCAAGGCGAAGGGTTGAGCCCGATGCCTCCAGCCTTAAACGAGGTGTGATGCCCTCGTGCTTCACACATTCTCTTAGATGACATAGCTCTGGGGCCGTCAACTCTTCCAGTGGACTGGTGTGGGATAATAGATGGACAGGGGCTCAAGATATTCTTCCGAGTCATCAGATGGCCATTGGATTGGCAATGCCTAAGGAGGGAATGTTCTGGCGCTCACCCTCTGTAGTCATAGTTCTCCTACAATTTGGGCATACATGGACTGTTGACTTTGTCTCTTTGGATCTGCCCCAACCAACACACCATGTTAACGTCAACATCCTTGAGTCCACTTTAAATGAACAGTAATTACCCTAAGTGTAAACGCTCTGAAAAGTAGCAAGTGAAGTTGTGAAGGACTGGCCACACCCACTTTTTTTCCCTATAGGTGGGCTCCACACTTCTTTAAATTACAAATATGGAAGAGCCTGACAAACTAGATACAGCTCAGTGTCTAAGAGTTTGGTTAGGAAGTAGAACAAACCTTCACCCAAAACTATTATTTTCTGCAGGTATTACAATATATATTTAAAAGCATAGTCAATGCCTCAAAGGAAAACAAGGGATAGAAGTTGTTTAAAAGGGGTGGGGCAAGGCCTTTCATCAAAGGCCTAGAGCTCTGGAACCTACACAATGTAGAAGACAGGCAAAGTACATTGTGCTCTAGCTTTCCTTAGACCCTCAGATTTCCTATGGTGACAATACCAGTATGAAGAGTATCTGGATTTCATCACTGCCTTTGAAGCACAAAAGGTGCTGGATTCAGATGGAGGGGTTAAAAAAAAAAAAAAGACGTCACCAGAATTAGTATAAAAATGCAGTTTAAAAATTAGGCAGCATTCTCCTCTAAATGGTGTTCACTGCTCAAACATGCCCAGTCAGACTCCAGTAGTGACAGTGATTGTGAAGCTAAGAACTGAGACAAGGAAGAAGACAAAGTTCTCTGCTGCAATGAGATGTGTGGTAGCACTGCTGTCTCTACAGGGACTCATGTGGCTATTTAACTTCGGCTCCATGTACTTGACATTGAGTATTTAATGATAGGTTCAAGAGAACAGATAGATTCCTCAGCACTTCTAGTTATTAGGGATGAAGAAGTTACTTCCCCATGGATACTCAACAGGTTTTGGCAAAGAGGAACACAGTAGTGGCCTTTATTGGAATTTGTGCTATGAGTCCAGCTATGGGACTACTTGGGATACTTTAATACTCAAAATAAGATTTTAATCAATATTCATTCCTGTTACAATCACCCAGAAAGAGGGAAATGAACATTAAGACTTTTAATTTCTTTAGCAGCCAAAGTAAGGTGGGAAAACAGATATCCAGATTGTGTCTAAGTCATGATACACACCCATAATCCCACCACTCAAGAGGGCAAGAGGACCAGTAATTCAAAACCAGTCAACTACAGAGGAAGTTGGAAGTCAGCTTGGGGTCTATGGTACCTGGACTCTCTTCACTAAATGTGATTATCAAGTAACCTAGAGGCAGATTTCTTCCAAGGGACAGGCAATCTATCTCATGTACTTATTCAAAACCTAAATCATGTTACATGACCTGAAACTATGCTACAGATAGAAATTCACTGACTTTTAAGAGTTAGAAAAGGTTGATAATGGAGTACTTGCCCCAGTTGCATGAAGCAACTTATCCTTCATTTTAACAAGTAGAACATTTTTCTGGATGAAGAAAAATAGTACACATTTGTGGTGGCAAGTTTGTTGAGGTATTGAAATAATGTAAAAACAAGCATTTTGAGATAAAACAAGATAAAATATTCTTTCTAACAGAAGTTAGTGCTCAAAAGGAAAAAACAGAACAGTAGCTCTGAGCCAACTGCTGCCAAGCTCTTTTCCACCTCACAATGTACACTTTGCAGTTTGCTTTCAGTGGACAAGCATTCTCACCAGGCTAAGTCTGCCTGCAGAGAGCACTACTTTATCTGGTTCAGAAATCTGAGATGTACTTTAAGGTCAGAGATTTTATTTTATTTTTTTCAGTTCATACATAAACTGCCTATAAATGTAATAACCTTCCCCTCTAGTATCTAGGTAGAAAGAACATCAACTTAGTTTTACAGAGTATTTCATATTCTTTTTCATAGAAACTTTGCACAAACATATCTGATGAAAGCAGCAACATTTTTTTACACAAAACCTATATACATTTATTTATAGGTCTTAATACAGCACAATGTACATGAAAATTGAGAACACTGCTCATTAAACCAATAGCTTTAAATTTTAATTTAAAATATAAAATGGAATTTCTCCAGAGAAATGATCCGTAGGAAATGCACCTTACCTTTGGCTCATGTGTTAAAAGAACATTGATAAAAATCAGTGACTTGGGCTTCTCTTTCTTTTAATTGAAACGAACACAGAACTTATAAGTGAATAGTTTCTTTTATGTCGTAGCAAAGAGAGTCAATAATCCTTTCAGGAAAGAGACTATTTCATTTCCTCCCAACTTGGATTCACCATAAACTCGATCCACAAATGATATTGGAACCTGGTTAAAAAAATACACATACATTAAAGTCAGTCTTCAAGTGATGACGTCACCAATTAGGGTTACAGCATTACAAGAGCAAAACCTCAACCCACAGCACCAGTCTGACATGGACACTGACAGTCGTAGTTCTTCAAGTAACTGACCTTTAGCATATTATCTAAAACTAAGCCATCTAATCTAACCCAAATCTATAGTTGTCTGAGAAGCACTGATTCCCCAATATGATGTTTGTCCATTCAAATGTCAGGTTGTATTTCCAGAAAAACCACACTTTAAAAAAAAAGACTTCACTTTTTTCTCACTTCAATTTAACGATCACGATAGAGTTAAATTACAAATTTCCTAATGTTCATCAAGAAGAGACATTCTGGGAGGGGCTGTTTTTCTTGCTATGAGTAAGGGTTTGGAATTAGATATGGGGTTTTCTCCAATAACTCAGCACCCAGCCTGAAACCTTGCCTCCAGCTGGTGCTCTGTAACTCTGGACATTTACTAAAAAGAAAAGCAGCAAGGAGCTCATACTGCCAAGTTAACTATTCTGAAGGAGGAGGTACAAGAAACCACACCTTGGTATAAATTGCAGTAGGTCAGACACACTCATCTGAATGTTCATGTTGTAGTATATGGACACTCCAAATAACCCGAAGTCTAAGACATGGACAACTCAGCACTAGGAAAGCTGTGCTTTTATAAACCTGTTTCTGGGGAGTAGGACATAGAACAGTTGCTCACCTCACTGATGGTGTAATTCAACTGTCTTGCTCGAACGATCATCTCCATCTGAAAGACATATCCTTTGGAGACACATTTTTCTATTAATTTCTGTAGAACTTCTTTTCGGTATAATCTGTAAGAAAACAGAATATTTATGAACATATGGACATGTTCCTATCATCCAGATCCTGAACTTTCGCAACTCACTGGTGTCTATAATCTAAAACTCAGTAGTCCCTGCTGCATAGACAAGTTCTTAGAGTTTGTGATCATGTGTCTTGGGCAAGAAGTACCTGCTAAGAGCCTGGAATACTTTTGAAAATGAGTTATTTGTAGCAAAAATAATAAAACTCCAGAGACAGATATTGGGGTTCAACCCGAAGAACAGAAAAGCAAAGTAGCCAAGCCACTAGAGAGACCTTTTAACTTTACCAAATCTTCAGACCAAAGGGGTGAGACCTTGTCTCCACAAATCCTCAAACTCCATACTCCACTGACTTCCTATCTTTTCCCATTCATGTTCCTCTCTCTGCCTAGCCATATCATTCCTGTCTCTACCTCCCTTGTGCTGGAATTAGAGGCATGGGATCCCAAGTGCTGGAATCACTTTTGGGTGAGCTCTGTTTCTCTTTTAGACAGATTCAATCTTGTGTAGCGCAGGGTGGCCTTGAACTAACCGAGATCTGTCTGCCTCTGTCTCCCCGAGTCCTGAGATTAAAGATGTGTGCCACCACTCCCTGGCCTGTATGGTTGACCAGTGTGGCTGCTTTGTCCTCTGATCTTCAGGCAAGCCTTACCTATTAAAACACAAATATACCACTATAGTTCTTAATGTCCTTTTGAGATTTAT